TGCAAGCGCTCTACCATCTGAGCTAATGTGGGACCTGGTTAGAAGTCACGTATTCTTTTACTTGGTTAATAGTAAACTGAATGGTTATAGCATATTAATGTATACTTTGTTATTGTGGGGTATTTTGTTAAATTATGCTAATTCATTCCTAATACAATACATTCTGTTGTGTAATATTAGGCTCCCCGGTGATAATTTACGTGCAGGGGTATTTTTTTTATTTTTTGAAAAGTTGGGCATTTTTTTAACGTCTTGTCGCGGTACTTTTTCGAACCCGCTAGCAAATATTGGGCTTAGTCCTTCTTTAAGGGCTCAGATCTACAAGTGCGCTCGAAAAGGAACGAAATGTACGAGTCATTAAATCCTACTAGACTCTTGAACTTTTTTCCGTTACATTTCCTGAAGCTTAGCTTCTCATCGCTAAACGATGTCAATCCTCGCTCTCGACAGTCCTTACAGACCTTATAACCGTCTCGGTACCGGATTTGACATCAGAGGCAGACTATGCAGCGCCAAAAATATTTGACGCACTCAGGGCCGACGAAGTGGTGATTCTGATCCTTATCGATGAATTGGAAGTTGGAGGTGTTACAATAGGGTCCACAACGGTTAGATAGCACGTGAGGCACGGTTAGATCTGTGTCTCGCATGGCTTTTTAATCGCGTCCCAGTACCACCCTGAGGATTGGTAATGACTCAGATTACTAAGGGAATCAATCAATATCTTCCGTATGGTGTTGTCGATGTTATACATCAGCCACCTTTTCGGAATTGCAAGGACTTAAACGTACATTGTAATCCACTGCATCTCCTCGTGTGCTTGGCTCTTCATACACTGAACCTTATCGTTATGATGTGGTGTACGCAGCTATTGCATAGTGAGTATTAGTGATACGCCCCTTCATATACATTGGTGAGCATGAGCGACGGCGGGCAGGCAACGCTTTCAGATTTAAAGGAAGGTGCGGGGAGGTGATGAATAGTAGCTGACCGAAAGAATCTTAGCTTAAGGTGGTTTGCAGTGCTCAAGGATACGCTGGCGGCGCGGGGCTCACTGGATCAGATCAAAGCTCGGATTCGTGCCGAAATCTTTGCGGCGCTGGATGATCAGGTGGCATATCGAAAATTGTCTATAAAGTTGCGATAACTAGCAATGACCAGTTTGATGGTGAATATGGTGTGAAATCAAGAACTTGCCTAAGCCGAAACTTTCAAACGAAAACTTAATTATTAACGAGCTCATTCGTGAGTACTTCGAGTATAATAATTATCGACATGCGCTTTCGGTATTCCTACCAGGTCAGAATGTTCGAGTTTTAAATTTTACAAGTTCAAGGTGCCAAATATATACGTAGAGTCCGGACAACCAGCTGAAAAGCCATTCGATCGGCATTTTCTATCTAGTGAACTGAACAGTGAGTATGATTTAATATTTTCCAATGTCATCAGCTCATGCCAAATGCACATTAAGTTACGGATGATCCACGCTTCACGCGGGTTCCTTTACTCTATAGCATTGTTGCTAGTTTGCAACAAAATCGAAGTACGATGTCACTTCAATCGATTAATATCCTGCTATTTCTCACTGCTTTGGGTACACACTGTAGACCAGGCAAATCTGCGAGAGCGAGACTATAAGAATGAGCATCAGATCAACAAATACGCTGCGCTACCAGGAAACAATGATATTGAGGTGTGACTTTTTTTTACCGACTTGCTTTATTTTATAACTCACAACACACTTGTGATCATAACCGTGCCCAGCAAGCTGAACTTCGTAAGAGCTCGCTTTTCTGTATCGGTTTTGTGCCATTACAACTTGACAAACATTTCTGATCGCGTATGTCACAGACGGCACTAAGGAGCTCTCACCCGTCATTTTAAAGAAATAGCTCAATTGGTGCTCAGTACGTTTACCCCAAACCTTTCTAAGAAAACTGCAGAGACTCATTGATATCTTGCTATATCTGATACTTAAGTGTTAGTTCCTATGTGACGAAACTAAGTGATTCGGTTGTTTGGAAACTGTTTTCCTAAATTATAAAAATGCTTTGTTATTTAGGACCTCTTTCGATTTCGTTGTAGCTGTGAAACTTCTGAAAGAACTTGTGGGGTATTCTATAGTTGTAGAACTGAATTGTTTTATGCGTCAATCCATTGAGGCTGTCATAAACACTCTCAAGCCCAACACCAATCGTATTGGCAATGCTAGCTCGGGGAAGTACTATTATATACAAGTGTTGACCATAGGATGAGGTCAACCGGAAGTCAGATCCTTGCAAATTTTGGATTCATACACAGCACAGGGGCTAAGTGCAAGTGCAGCAACAGCCACGGAGCAATTTCTTTTACGGTTCCGCGCTGCTCGTCACACCTACGGTCATGCTCGGCCGTGCCGTTGGCCTGATGCCTCCTGTGAGCCTCGGCGTTGAGCTCGAGGGGACCTCTGGTGAGGACGTGGCGATGTTGTCGACATCCGTCGTCGGTTAAGCACCCTCGCATTTATTTGAGCTTAAGCGCAGCTCCGCACTGGGCAGATACCATGTCCTTCGCGGATAAGGATCGGGCCAAAAGGCTCATTGCTCGCGTCATGCACCGCGTTGCGGCTTCTCCCCTTACTTCATTGTTGTGGGGTGGGCAGAGTTTCCAAAATTATGTGCTGGTCATTTCTTTTGTCGGCGCCCGACAAAACTGGCGGGAATCTTCTCGTCGATATAAAGCAGGTATCTAGATCAGAATGCTCCAGTAGATTGCATGTCTCTAGGTTCTTTGCGCAACATTGGACGGGAAACCCAGAACACAACTATTGAATGTAGCGGCTTGTGGTCCGCAATCATATATCATGCAGCACTTCGCGATATATCTTCGTAAGGAGACTACAGATACTTACTTGCCAAACTCATCTTGTCAGGGAGAAGATGAACGCGGTCGTCTGCCCGCTCGATGTCTGCTTCAACATACACGAGAACTTTAAAACTGACAGCCCATCTCCACTGTATGCGCTCTGCACGGATCCACCCAACATCATGCGTAATCTACGACACGAAGGCGGTGGGTTCGGGCCAATTTGCCTTTGCTTATGCCTGTGGTCTCCACGGCTTTTACAATCTGGCCATGTTCTCTTCTCTTCTCGATTGATTTAAATCCTACGCGCCGAAGTTGATTCTGAGCAAACTGACCTTCTTCGTCAAGTCTGTCAACAGCGTCCATCTGGTGTTCACGATGTTCAACAATGTATGCGTCCAGAAGGTCTGCAAGTTATACGCCCATATACTCCGTCGCGCTGGTCTACCTCGACATCGACGGCAAATTTGTGTCGGGTACAAAGGATTCTTACGCAGTCACTCATTATCCCGCTGATTTCTGTAGAAAGCTGGCATCGTTTTTTGCCAGGCGATTTGTTCAAACATATGGCGTAACCATATATACCTATGGACATTGCAGACTTATTGTGCAACGCTGCGGAGGAGAACACATGATAAATTTACAGTAGCGAAACTCTTGAAAAACACAGCTGAATCGATTCCCCTGGAGACTTCTTCCAATTGAGGCTGGTGACGCTAAAAAGAAGATTGGAGCTTTTTTGTCGGCAGTGCAAGATGTCGATGCAGTCCGGATATTTAAAAGAGTATCAAACAAAGCGTTTTGCCTGACGAGTACATCAATGTCTCGATGCTTCTCGTTGCAGCGTGCGATTACTTGCACGAGTGCGTTCAACGATGTCACACGCAATCAACTTCGACGAGTATTTCGTCTAAAAATGATTCGGGTGGGCCGTAATCTGTTTTATATTGTTTTAATTGTGCTGTCGCGGACGATTCCGTCGCAGGCACTACTTCGCAGTTAAAAACTGCCCTTAACGACATGGTGCGCAATCGCACAAAATCAGGCTTGGACGTACGAGAGCGTTGCTTCTCGGTAGCCTGTAGCTGTTGATATTGACTCAAATAATGTGTACAAGGCGACAAATTCGCTTCAAAAACTCGCGTCGATTATCTCTTTGCGCAGCGCATCGGAGATAGTGCCTGTAAATACTTCTTAAGAATTCTACTCTAGATATTGTTGTGCAAAAGTGACGTTATTACTACAAGATGGATATTGAAAAAAAATTATGTGATTGGGGCAAAATTTAATCGAGCGATGTAATATTGGGGTGAGTCCTTGCTCGAATCACTTTTTGCATCTCCAATCCAAAAATAATGCGCGAGATGTATAATCTATGATAGAAGCAGTGCCGTTGTTTGTGTCAACACCGCGTAGACCACTGCGGAACGAAGCGCTGTCATCCATGCTTATTTATATTTATATAATTGATACCGAGCCCAGTGCCAGTTTTAACTTTCGAAAAGAACGGCTAATCAGCGCGTCCGAACCAAAAAAAATATATGTGATCCATTAACGCTGCCAGTAGGGATGATCGTTATCGTAACTTACACCTGGCTACCAGCAAGCAGCCGGTCAGGATCTAAGCAACACAATAGGTCCGCTCCGTCGAAGTTGATGACATATGCTAGCCTATGCAGCACGATTGAGCTTATTTGCCAGTTTTCAATCACGCTTAGCAAACGACGTTTAAAATGACGGCTATGAAAGCTCTGGAATAAGTTAGCCTTGATCGTCTCATTAACAGATATTTGCTTATGACAATCGGGGCCCTTCTGTCCTTACCATGATTCATCTACATTCGTCGGTAATAAATGGCCCAATAAAGAAGTGCGTCGTCCAGAACTGCAGGTGCTGGGATATATGTTGTGGCAATCCGCTTTGTGGATGTTTGGTAGCGAAGTGGTTGCGACAAAGTCGCCGAAATTGTACCTTCAACATGATTCTTGGTTTTCCTTTAAGCGATGCTCATTCGTCAAGTCAGTTTCTCCACTTTCCATGCGCATACCATTTATCTTGCTCAAATATCAGGTTGCCAATTCTGCTTGTAAAAGCCAGATACATGTCCGAGAGAAGAAGGTTGAGTTTGGACATGGTGATGTAAGCGAAGGGTCCTTACCAATCTTATGAGCTTGCTATATCTGATATGACGGTTTATATATATATGGGGAGTTGATATATTCACTCACTTTTCGGTTATATTCACTTGTACGCCACTTTTTGATTATATTCACTCACCTGCCCGTACAGCGCCACTCACCTTCACTCACCTGCCAGATTTGCCAGTACTGTACTGTACAGTAAAATACAGTGGCACTCACCACTCACTCACCTGCCAGTACACTACAT